CCTGGGGCGCGGCGTCCTGGCAGCGCGGAGCGGGGAGCTGGCTTTGGGCTCAGGGCTGCCGTCCGCCGCTTTATGGCCGGGCCAGCCCGGGGGCGGGGGAGGCGAGGCGGGGCAACCCCTTGGCGGAATCCCCTCTCGCCGGGAAGAGCGGAGGCCACTGAGAGCCTGGCGGGGCGTGGGCAAGCGGGAGGCGGCACCGACCGGGTCTCTGGGGCGAGGGCGCGGCCCGACGGCGTGGGCATGGCGGGGTCGTGGGGGGGCGCTCTGGACGCGGGAGGCGAGAGGGCAGACGCGCGGGGGGCGGGCGGGAGAGAGGCTGCACCGCCAGCCGCGTTGCTGTGGGCACCTTCGGACCCCGCCCCTGTGCTCCCGGTTTCTGAAAGGAAGCAGCTCTTGGAAAGGCTTCGGCGCCTTCCAGAGTCTCCTTCCCGCGAGCCCCGAAGGCTCTGCAGGGATGTCCTGCTGACGTGATCAGAGAGCAGTGGGTGCTTTTACTTCTCCAAGCGTTGCTTGAATACTTGGAATGTTGAATATCTCTTCTATCAAGTGTTGAGGCATGAACAGCGAACGTTTGAAAGTGTTTATGTTTTAAATGGAAGCAAAACACGTCTTGGCAGGGCTTGGAGTGAACCTGTAGTCCAGCCGCTCGGGAGGCTGAGGCGGGGAGATCCCTTGTGCCCAGGCATTCCAGACCACCCAGGACAACCCCGTACGCACACAAAATGAAAACCTAGTTGGGTGTGATTGCGCGCGCCTGTAGTCCCAGCTACTCAGAGGCTGAGGCAAGAGGTTCACTTCAGCCTAGGAGATCGAGGCTGTAGTAAGCTTTGATCGTGCCACTGCATTCCAGCCTGGCCTCAAAAAATAAAAATAAAGACCCCTCCCCAGGAATCCATCCAGTTGAGCCATTTATGAAAAGGGACCCCCCAAAACGGAATTTATTTATTTAAAAATTGTGTATTTTCTCTCACGTGTTTAAACTTCAGTCACCGTCAGAGTACTCTATGATGCATTTCACCCATTGAGACACTTTTCACTGCTCAAAACAGCTTTTGATCTTGTCAGTTTTGATGTCTTTTAGTTCTTCTGCCTTTTGTTTGTTCGTTTGTTCCATCTCCTCCACTGCAACAAAACGTTTCCCTTTGCAGATTTTTTCATCAGGGAAACCAAAAAAAGTCATTCGGGACAAGGTCAAGGTGGGGCAATGGGGGAGTCATGATGTTTTGGTCAAAAACTGCTGAGCACTCATTGCAGTATGGGCAGGCCCATGTCATGGTAGAGTCAGTCACTTATTTGCCACAACTTAGGACATTTCTTCTGAAAACCATGATGCAACCTTTTCAAAACTTCCAGATAAAAACTTTGGTTGACCATTTGATCTGGAGGGATAAATTCCAAGTGTACTACAAGGAACCTGCTCTCCAAAGGATAATTCCAGTTTGGGGAGCGGGGGTTGCCCCCTCGTATAAGTCAGTGGATCTGTGCTTTATCTTCAGTTGGGTTTCCAGACACTCTGCCTGTTCTTCCAAAAGTTTCCGTGTGGGGGTAGGGTATAGGGGTTGGACTTGAAAGAGACGAAAGAACACAGGTATTTATCCTTCCTTCCATGCAAAGCCCCCTCAGAATGATATGGATTAACTAGAGAAAACAGTATTTGATAAACAGTGGCAGAGTTTCCCATCTGTAATAGTCTCGACTAATGGAGAAAGTTCCGCAAAGTATTGATGGCAGGGAATGTCTTTTATGTCTCAAAGAATCCCATTGCACAGTTTAAGAAGCTCTCTGCCACAAATGTGGAGATTAATGTGTCATTTTGCTCCTGAACTGTACTAAAATAATGTGACACCAATTATGATTCCGCTTACAGTGAATGCCCTGGAGATTTGTGAGTCACCTTCTGAGCGCTCTTCTGCCTGAGACCTAACACAGGTCTCTCTGTCTTCTTTGGTGCAACATCACTATATGGAATGGGAAGCCATGTGTCTGCATATGAGTACCAAAGAGACAACAAAGGAGGTGTGCACATGTTTCCACACAATGTGACTGCAAACTCACCGCATGTACTAGACCTGCAAATCTCCAAGTTCCCAAATTGTGTTCCCAGGTGGTCTGAGTAGGAGGGGAATCCAGGCTCCCAGCCTGTGTTTTGAGCAGAACAGCCTTGGTTCTATGTTTTGTACAATGGATTCAGAGTAAGACCTTCTATAAAGAGTGTTTGGATGCTCAAAATTTTGAGAGCCACAATCTAGTGGTTTTTTGAGATCCAGGCAAAGTTCAGGCAGAGAAAGGAGGTGTTAGGGCCATAGAATGACAGAGCCTTTCTCAGAGATATGGGCCTCATTCAGGGCAAACATGGTTCCCATCTGTGGAAGGATTTTGGGAGCAAGGCTGAGTGGAGGGCAAAGGCCACAGAGATGGAATGTGGTCTCCTATATACATTTTTTGCTATCCCATAGTTTGACCATGTAACTCGCTTGGCCAGTGGGATTCTAGCAAAAGTACCACAAGCAGAGGTGTGAAGTGTATGTGTGCAACTGGGCTTGCCAACTCTGGCCCTTAGGCCTTTGCTGTGCCAGCGACTGGGCTTGCCAACTCTGGCCCTTAGGCCTTTGCTGTGCCAGCAACTGACTCAGACAGGCAAGGGAGTTCAGACAAGATCAGCAGAGGTGTGAGCAATAAATATTTATTTCTGTACACCATGGAGGTTTGAGGATTGTTTGTTGTGTAGCACTATGTAGCAATAGGTAACAATATACTATTAATAGGTTTCCTTTCTTTTGTTATTGCTATAATATACAGAATGACTCCATTGCTGGCAGCTTTCAAGTCCCAGCTCCCCTTCCTCTCAGGCTCACATCAGGAAAAACTGATCAGAAAGCCTCAGTACTCCATCCTTGGCACCAGCAGGAAATTCCAACAGTATACGCCCTCCCCCATGTCCAGGAGCCCTCACTGCCATAAACCCCAAAGCAATTCTCCTTTCCCTGCACTCTCAAGATACTTTCAGACCAGTTTAGGAGCCCATCTTCCTCTCCCCAAGAGGTCTCATTATGTGACCAATAAACCTTTTCAAACACTGCTTCTGCATGTAGGACAACATTGATCTTGACATCCAAACCCAGTTTTGAGAGTGAGGGTGCTACCCTGCTGCTGAGGGTAACAACAATATTGTTCTTCAGAAGTGGGATAAATCACTCATATTGTGCATTGCTATTTGGCACAACTAAGTAGAAGGTTTGTACATATTTGTTCATTGATATATGTTCAGAGTTATCATTAGCTCTGTCAGATTTTCCAGTTGAATTCTTGAAGGGAATAGAAATGTGATGTAATGTAATTCTTAACATTAAAAGACGCATAAAGGGAACATGGTTTACAATCTACTGTGTGATGGCATTTACACCATAGCAAACTTTGGATTCCTTTTAGGTGTACCGTTAATAACCAAGGAAGGTGCTTGATTAAGTGACAGGAAAATAACTCTTCTAAAAGCTACTTAGCACAATTAAGGGCCCAATAAATCAAGCTTTTAATTAGTGTGCAATTCAAAGTATAATTTTTTTTCAGAATTTAGAAGACATTTTGCTTTAGCTATTAAACATTGAAGATCAGTGAAACAAGAAAAGAAATGTGTAAAATCACTCATTTTCTATTTCACTAAGGGTCTCAGTAGACTCTACAAAGAAATTCTCATTAACTTCTTTAATGTACTTTACTAAATAATGTGTAAAACTCCTTAGAAAAATAGCCAAATGCAATGGCTAGAACATTTGTTACAATTAATAACTGTGTATACCAAACTTGAAGTCCAGAAAGAGTCTTGACAACTAGAATCATTTCAAGTAATTGCTCATCTTCATTAAACCATGTATTAATTCATCCACATGGTGGCTCCTGCAATGTACAATGACAACATTGATCATTGTGCCAGGAAAATCCCAAAGTTAGTGGCAGATATCTAAATGTATTTGCAAAGAAAATATAATGTAGAATCTAATGAAATAATAGGACATAAGACAAACCTGAAAATGACACTAGAATTGCATCAGTTTGGATGTAAAGAGTTCAGAATTTGGGATAATTTTATTTGATTTGGTTGAGGTTTATCTATGGAGATAAAAAGGTTTGTAAGCAAATGAATTGTATTACTTGAATTCCTGAGGGCATGCTCAACCTAACAAAAAAATTACCATATGAAAGATTTTAGTAGTTAACTTCTACTAAAAATTGGTATTACTAATTACAAATGACCACTGACTAGTTCATAAACGAGCTGGAGTAAATATCTAACACTCTTGCCAACTCTAAATTCTAAAATTTTGTGAGTTTGTTACCTAGTCATTGACAAAAATGCTGTGTTAGAAAAAATATTTGCCTATCAGGCATGAAAACCTAATTAGAATTTCTTCTCATTAATATCATCAATTATCCAAAAGATGATTAATATGCATCCATTCATTAATATACTCAACAAATTCATAGTGACAGTGTTCTGAAATGTGCCCAGCACTGTGCTAGACAATGACCACACAGAGATGGAGGAAGCACAGCTCCTGTTCTCTAGCTCATCCTCTACTCAGGCAAGTAGATGATATCAGCAATATCAACAGAACTGTCATGGAGACATGGCCTAAAAAATAAGGAAGTACTGAGGAGAAAGCAACCTGTAGCTAGAGAGAGTTAAAGAAGGCTTCCAGGAAAGGCGGCTTTCCATGTGATTGGGGAAGGATGGGGAGGCAGCCTTATCTCTAGTGGATGAAGTTAGGGAAGAGCATTGTAAGTAGAGAGAATGCCTGTGATACGCAGGACCATGGAGGTTGTCTCAAGGAGATGGCTGAGGTTCTGACATCTGGTGGATCGTGGTGCCACTCACAGCGATC